ATGAAATGTATTTACGAATAAAGTTAATATTATCACATGAAATGTGCACTTTCGGAATTAATTTATTTGCTCCAAGTCTTATTTATTGATTTTAGCTATGAACTGCGGCTGAATGATGATCTTGAACTGCTTCTTTGGTGGCATGTGCTCGAAATCAGTGTAGAAGTCCCTGCAAGATGGATTTCAATGAATAATAATCAATTGACGCTTATAATATAGTATATATAGTAGAGGATTAGTTAGACATACTCTTCGTTGGCCAGCGTTACATTGATGCGATCAGTGGAAACGCGCGTTGGACGTATGGCGCCAAAGAAATCTGTGATCGGCACCTTCTGCGGATCGCGTCTGTACAAATCCTTGCGAACGCCGACAGTCGAGATGCAGACGCGCTTGGGGCACACTTGCAGCTGTAAATAGGCAAAAGAAACTATTGAACAGGCCACGGTAAGGATCAAACTGGCTGCTTACAAATTCGCCAATTGTGCGCTTGCTAAAGGGCTGCACTTTCTCCAGAAACTCAAGTGCATAGTAGGTGTAGCGATCGATCATGTAGACGCCAATCGAGGGGTCGACGTGATGCTGTTGCCAAATACATACATACAGATATTATAAACATAGCAGTGTCAAACGCAGCAGACGCAATTGCTCACCGATAGCGAATCCTCGCCGACCAGGCTGCTGGCTACAGCTAATACGTTGGGCGATGTGAACTTCTCGTACAGCGACGCGGCTTGGCAGGTGTCCACCATAAAGAACAGTTCGTTGTAGCTGGAAGCGAACAAGGGGAGCAGCTAAGCGCCAGCAGATTGAACTTTCATTATATATTCTTACCGTTTCTTCTCCCACATTTGCTGTATGCCATCGGCCAGTTCCTGGCTGGTAATCTCCTCGGAGTCCTGGAATTTCAGAAAACCATCGCCGCCATGTCCAGTCAAATAGATGAGCACATTGCTGCCCGCATCCGAGAGCAATTTCTTGGAGCGTGCTGTTCCGTTTTGAGTGCGGCCCGTTAGCAGACGGACAAAGTTCTCGACGGTTACCTCGTAGCCCCGATAATCTACCTCCACATCGTCGCCATACACATTGATGTGCTGATTCGCATTGTTGTACACCTGGCCGGGTCGCGGATTACGCGCATTGCAAGCCATATCGTCGGCAATCATCAAAATGATCTGCGAATCGGGTATGCCGAGACGCTTGACGGACCGATAAATGGACAGCACATTGGCCACATGACGATAATTGAACCAGAAACGCGATGCATCCACCAACACGGCCCAGTTGTTTGTATGTGTCGAGTGTTGAGCGGCATCTACATAGGCTTCTGGCAGTATTGAGGTGTCCTATAATTGGGAGACAGAGTAACGCCAATATTTATTTGCAATGGTCTAAGTTGGCTTTTCACTTTTTAATCGCGCTACTTACATATTCGGCGGCGTTAATTTGAATAATAGCAAGCACTAGTAGAAGCGCTTTGTGTAACATATTTGTAAATTTTTATTTATTATTTCCAGAATTCTATTTTGTATGCCGGCATTGAGCCAGCCCTGTTCCTGCACAGCGCTGCCAGCTGTTTTGTGTGAGGCAACAGCTGACAGCGCTGCCAGTGCTGTCAGTCACCCTTCTGGCAACGCTTGGCTATGTGACAACAAATGTTGTTAATTGCCAACATTTTCCATGCCAATTCTTGCAAATTAAAATGAATTTTATGAACCATTTCTGCCTTAAAACATAAAGTTCATAGGTTTAGCTTTCGACTGATAGGTGGCATTGTTGATAAGGTCAACTTTAAGGGTCATAAAAAGCGAAAGAAAAACGCCAATGGCGTTCTCAGACAATCCAATATGGCGTATAAATGACGCTGGCATGTCGGTCAAAACAGACGAAGACGAAGAGAGAGAGAAACGGAGCAATAAACAGCACGTCAGCCGAAAGCAGCTCGTGCACATGCTTATATACACACAAATATACTCATGTGTATGAGTATGTGTAAAATGCATATTCAAATGTTAAATGTGCTTTTACATATAGATATGTATGCGTATATTAAAAATACAAAGGTACTTGGCTTTTCTCATGGCGAAAATAAAGAAAATTAACCAACAACAATGCTTATGAAAACTCTCTGAATTCGCCGCAAACATCTCGCAATCGCGATCACATCGCTCGCACTCTCGCTGACTCTCTCTCTCTCTCTTTCTCTCTCGCTCATTCAATTCCTCTATGTATTTTCTGTTCTAAATGATTCTTGCTCTCTGATTCACGTGGGTTTCCAAACGAATGCATGAATATGGGTTTGGTTTCTCTTAGTCTGGGCGAATATTGAGCATGTATGAGAGTGTGTGTATATGTTTTTCACCATTTAGTGTTGAGCTTGAGCTCTGCCGGAAGTTTTCTTTTCATTTTTCATCCGTTTATTGTTGTGCATTATGCCTGCCCATTGATATTCGCATATTGTCGCTTCTGCTTTACCTTGAGATTCATGGCTGATAGCTGCGTGGCGTTTGTCGGCCATTGCGTTTTCCAATTTCTGTTGCCTTCAGCGCTTAAATACATACACATATACATTTGCATGCGTGTGTGTGCTGCGAATGTATGTACATGTTCGTATCTATGTATGTATGTATGTACATTAATGTGTCTGCCAGAGCCCACAGTTTCTACTTGCCATATTTTTATATGCACACATACAAACATATGCATGTATTTATATGAATTACTTTATGTATAAACAGGCATTTAAAGGTGAAATCAGTGGAGTGGGCGTGCTGCGAAAGCCTGCAGAAAACAATTAAAAGGCGACTTTTTCCATCCATATGTACATATGTATGTATGTATGTATGTATGCAAATACATACGTATTTACGGCTGCATGTGTGTCATGTGCTTAATTTTGCGTGCGTATGAGTATGTGTGCATGTGTTTGTCTCTACATAAATAATGTACATATGTATTTGTGCACTAATTTATCGATATGTTGGCTGCCATTGTTTTCAGATCGCTATTTACATAACAATATTTATATTTCTATTAAAGGAGGAATAGGTATAGATATAAAAATAGCTCTATATACGCAAATATTATAAATTTTATAATTATGCAATTCATTGTCGATCACGACTAAGAACAAAATTTCAGCACATCTTGATCCTTGATGGCCAAGAGTATCCTTGACTTTTTACAATATTAACTGCCAGAAGCTTTTGCATGCGCAGCAGTTACATCAGAGTAGTAGGCTGGCAGCGCAGGCAGAGATGGAGCTACGCAATGTCCTAGTTTGGTCCATCCTTTTGACCTTGACCCAGTTGTAAGCGTGTTCAATGGGGTTGACATGCAGGCATGATACACTTGTGAAAAAACCTTTTGTTGAAATACAATTATTGTTAATAGAAGCCGAGATATGTACATATAGTGGTCTATTGATTTTCCCTCTGCCCTTTGCTCACGTCCAAGTGGCACAATGAGCAATTTGCAGGGCAATTAAGTTGGCCTTTAACCCATATAACACACACACACACACACACGCACACCTGCATTTTTTTGCGTGCGTATGTGCGTGTGTGTTGTCATAAAAAGGAAAACTGGACTCTTAGCCTGCCACTTGCAGGATTCTCCACTTCAAACCGCGTCGCCAGCTCGAGGGCGCCACAATAACAAAACAAAAAACAAAATAAAATAAAAGAAAGAAAAAGAAAATAAATAAAAGAAAAATAATTGAAAAGAAAACAGCGAAAGAGAAACATCGTGTGCTTTCGTCGTGCTTTCGTCTACCAATACAAATACCTAAAGCAATAACGGAATATAAACATGTACATGCATATATTTCAATAGTTAAATTGTTGCTTTGCTGTGATAAAAAAGAAAAACATCAAAATGCATCCGTTCCAGAGTACTTTAGAGCTTGCGCCATATTTGAATCAAAATGTCATTTCATATCCCATTAAAATACGCCAAATACGCCAAACATAAGACCAGCCAGTCCCAGCAGCAACAACGGCAACATCAGCAACTGAGGTGGTGGCGGCGGCGGCATCAGCGGCATCAGCATTAGCAGCAACTGTTAAAGAAAATCAGCTACAAAAGCGATATGAATAAATGAATTTGCATACTAAAAAGCACAGCGAAAACTCAGCAGCCACATCAGGCGGATCGAAGAACATCAGAGTATTGTATGCTTGAATATGTGCCATAAGTTTCTTGAAAGTCTTAGTTTTAGTTTTATTGCTACCCCCAGCCGAAAACGAAGCGTTTGCTCTTAACTGTAGTCCTTGCAGTCGATGTCGTGCAGCAGGCCAAAACCAGCAACGCAGCAGAACACAAAACAAGTAAGTAGACAATTTTCGAGCTCACAGCGACTTGTGCGTGCCCTACATTTACAGTAAGTTGTCAAAAGTTTTTAAATCTGCTGTCAAAAACGGCTAGCCGGTGTGAGAATATAGGCGTACGTATGTGTGTGCGTCTGAGGCATGTTCCATAAATGTTATGTTATTAGTAACAACTGTCATACGATATATATCGATATTATTAAATTCTCCAGCTCTTTGGATGATTAATTACTAAAATAGTGGGAAAATAATCAGTTTATATCCTTTAAAAGTATATATTATTCGCTTTCAAGTCGGGGCTAGTTTGTAGGGTATAAAAGTATCTCAGAGATAGCACTTACATGTGGTCGAGTCAGAGTCAGCGGCGAATACATATTTCGCCGCTTTGACGACGCTCTCTTGTTCTCTTGTTCGCTCTCGCTCTCTTTGGCGTGTTGTGCGCTGCCATTTTGCCTTGTTATTTCACTTCGTACCGTGTTTGCGTTCACAACTCTGTCGGTTCGGGTTCTGCATTTTATTTTATTATTATTATTTTTTTTTTGTTTTTCTCTGCTTTGGATTGTGCAGTTTTTTCGTACATTTGTATATCAAACTGACCGCGTTTCCACCGACTTTGAATTTATTAACGATTGCGGATTGATTTCGGTACAATTGAATAACAATAAATGCGGAAAATTCGCAAATGATGCGACGGCGACTCTGAAAAAAGAGAATTAAGTAAGTATCGTCGTTGTGGCTATGTGCCCGCTGTGTATGTTGGTGTCTGAATGTGTGTGCATGTGTTGCTCGGGTGTGCGTGCGAGAGCTGTTTATGTACATGCACACATACATCGAAATCTTCGCAAGTATGCGTATATGGCAAATCATTCGCAAACAAAAATGCTCCCATGCATAATTAAAAAGAAAATTCAAAAATCATATAAACTGCCAGAAAGCCAAAACAAATTGCCAAAATATATCAAATCAATCCTATCAGCTTAATTTAATTTGCCAATTTATTTATCACCAACGACCTAACAAGTAAATCAACTGGTGTACCCTTTTCAAATGTTGCTCTTCATCTGTGGCAGGTGAATCTTCTGTGCAGCTGCGTAACCCGGCCACCTGCAAGCAGGTTTAGCCTTCCGGCTCAAACAACATCTAAGCGCGTTTCTTGATTTTGAATTTGTAATAAATTTACAATCTCTTAAACATAATGTCGCCCAACGAATAATTAAAGAATTTTGTTCTAATTCAAAATTTCTCAAAACGCGCAAATTTGTGGCTTCAGTGTGACCAAATGTTGTAAAAGTAAATCCTTAAATTGTAAACTTTCAGCGGAAAAGAAAAAAGACAAATTGATCAACAATGTTGCCAATTTTTGCAAATTATTTGTTTACATTCTGTTACGATCGCTAGTCCTTCGTTTGTGTCTTATAAATTACGCTTATAAATTTGTAGTAAATAAATCAATATTAAATATGTTACTTTCTAGCAATTGGCATTGTCTGACAGCTACACCTCCTTGGCCATTTTCTCACTTGATCTAGCCGTGATCCAGTTCTGCCCGATTGCGACCACAGCACGTGCGTTGCTCATAAGAACTAAAAATTTAAATCCTTCCATGACGTACCCAATATAAAGTTAGGCATATAAGTTTTCTCACTGGTTGCAGATTGCCTGTCAGTGATCCGCTCGAATTTGATTTCATATTTGCAAATGTAGCAATTTCCGCAGCCATAAAACATCGAAACGGTCCAAATTCAGATATCGATGTAGTGAACGATACTCTTCACCCTATCGATATTTTTACCCCTACATCTCTGCGTGCGGCAACGCTGTGCAACAGCATACAACTAGAAGCCAGATTTGATCGGACAAACATTTTAAACAAACTTAAACGGCTGTTTTTTATTTTTGTTATAATTGTTTTTTTTTTTTCAACGCAATTAAAAGTAAGAGTCGGAAATTTGACAATCGAAAAAACGGAAGAGTATGAAATAACTTAGAGAGGGCCGAATGCCCGGGACCGCTGCGGATACGTGCCCGTGTGCTTATAAGTGTGTTTACTACTGCATTAAGGCTCAATTCTTTTAATTCTGTTTATTTTTTGCATACACTTGGTATGTATGCGTGAATAGTTGTTGTTCGTTAATATGTACACTTCATTTTGATTTTGTTATTTGCGATTTGCTTTTGTTTCCTTTATTCGCTATTTGTTGTCGCTGTCATTTCTGTTTCAACTTCCACCGCCTTC